CGAATTGTTGCTTTGTTTTGCAACAGCAGAGTTACATGGGGTGCCCATGTAGAAGGGGCTCCCCTGATCACCATATCTGCTATGACCTGTGTAAGGGGCATTCTCATTGGGTGAATATCCTGATCACCATAAAGCCATTCCAGCATGGCTTGCATAAGCAGCACATCAGCTGCTTCCTCTGGGGTGTTTCAGAGGGCATTTAGAGGGGAGAGGGGCAGTTTCCCTTCTCAGGATACACAAAACTGACCGCAAATTTTATCCATTCCAGCAGACTGGCTGCCCCCTCAGGGTTATCCTGCCCTGTAAAGGGATCTTGGATCAACATTTGTGCCTGTTTCATAGTGAGTTTTGAGTCTTGCATCAATCCAAACATACTCTTCCATTCAGCAGTATTCAAAACTAAAGACGCCGCCCCTAAATTAGTCACTCTAACAAGCCATTTTAGTAAAGTTTCCTCGGGAAGCTGACGATACCGATCTACAAACTGAAGCAGCTCTTTCACACTATACCCTCTGCTTTCAATAGTTTCCTGGCTTTGCCCGTTCCCTTCCCGGACTACCTTTTTGGTGACCAATGGTTGTACTGGTACTGCCTGTTGTTCTGACACAATTCTTCCTTTCTGGGTAGGCCCTGAAACTAGGGGTCGTAGCTCTAATTGGACTGGATCTGAGCTTGATTCAGTGCTACAACCCGGCTCTATGTTCTTTCTCCCTGCCATTGCAGCTATTGCCGATAACAGCCACCAAGGAATTGTAAGTCTCGCCTTTTTCTCATCATTCTGTATTTCCATATACATACAACTAGCCAATTCCTCAGGAGTTAGATCCACCTCTCCTAAATCCCATGAATAGCTTTTGCCTTGGGTGACTGATCTCAACAAGAGAGCTGCTTCAATCCATGTGTTTCTTTTATCCCATCCAGAAGCCAAAGGTTTCTTACCTTCCCATTTATCTCCTTTCTTCTAAAACCACATATTCCAGTGAGTCTGGGCCGTTGCAGCGAATCCCACCATTCTGACACCAATTACTTGAACAATTTCTCTCAGATCAGCCCAAGGCTGGTCCCCATGAGGTGGAGGTAAAAGATATCTCCCAAATGTCCAAACTACCGTACCACTCCATCATTTCACACATTAACTCCTCCTCCTCCCAATAATTTCCCCAGTCTTGGGGTTCTGTATTTCACTGTAACGCCTCACAGAACTCACAGACACCCAAGGGTTCATCTCACGTAGTAGTGGTGGAGGCTGGCAGGCTGGCGAGTCCCAAGTCCCTGAGTAGGTCTGGAGGATCCTCCCAATTCTCGGGGTTTGATGAACCTCGATCAGCAGATCAGATGACGGCTGCTGTTCCAAATCCAGGGGTGAGATGAGGATGAGCCAAGACATAAAACCGGAGCAAGAGGAGGGCGAATCTTCCCAGGAGAGTCGCAGGTATACCCTCCAGGAAGCTAAGAGTGGTGATTTGAATTATACCCTCCAGCAAGGCAGGACTCAAGATACATTCCACCTGTGTTGCCCCAACAGAAATAACCTAGGTGATGGCTTTAACAATCAGCAGCTCAAGGCAAATCCCATCACAGAGTTGATTGCCTGTCATTGTAGGGAATGACTACTACCAGCTGCCCAGCCAAGTTGATACCTGACCTTAACTACCATACCACCCCAAACAGGCATGGATAATGGGGTTTACAATACATCACAGAATGGAGGACAATGGCTAGAAGGGCCACATCAAGCAATTCACCGCATGGAGTTAGAGAAGTATCTCAGAAAAGAAGTGTTTGGGTTACCTAGTGCCACTCTGGGAGCTCTGGTAGCATAGTGGCTAAGACACTTGCCTGCTAACCAGACAGCTGGCGGTTCAAACCCACCAGCCACTCCTCGGAAGGAAGGTTGGGCAATCCTACTGTCCGTAGTGATACTGCCTCGGAAACCCAAGGAGGGGTCGCTATGAGTCAGGTTTGACTCGACGGCATGTAACAACAACAACAGTGCCACTCTAACAGATACCACAAATGGGATGGCTTTATTAAACAGGAGTTTATTCTCTTACAGTTTGGAGGCTGTAAGTCCGAGTTCAAAGTGCCAGGCTCTAGGGGCTGGGTGAAAGCCCCTTGACTTCGGGCTTTACCTCTGCCTCCTGCTCCCAGCCCACTGAAGCTAGAGGCTTTTCTTCACACAGACAGCTGCTGGCTGCTGAAGCTGACAAGCCCAAGGTTCACAAGTAAAGAGGCACAGTCCCGATGTTACCAAACCACATGGCAGGCCATTAATTCAAGTCCATTAAAAGTCCCAAGGTCGGCAGAGCATGGCAGGCTGCTGAACAATGACACATGACTGCATGCAGGGTTCAAACGTGTCGTAAGCTGGAGACTGTTCCCCAAGGCTTCGCCTAATATTTAGGAAGCAGACCACATCCCTAAGGCAGCTACTCAGCTGCTCACAGTAGATTCCACCATGGAGTTGATAACCAGTCTCATCATGGGGAACACTATATCCAGCTGCCCAGCCACCCAACCAGGCCCAGCCAAGTTGACACACAAACTTAACTACCACAAAATGGTTTAAAGGTTATAGCATAAACTGTTTGGGAGTGGGGTTGGGGTGTTTGTGTAAAATAGAAAGGGTTGCTTCTTTAAAAAAATATCTATGTGTGTGTGTGTGTGTGTGTATTTTAGTGATTTGGTGAAAGTTTACAGATCCAATTGGTTTTCCATTCAATAATTCATACACATTTTATTTTGTGACATTGATTGCAATCTCCACAATGTAACAACACTCCTCCCACTTCCTCCCTGTGTTTACCATTTCCCTTCCTCCTTTCCTGCCTTCTGAGCTTTATCCCTGGGCAAATGCTGCCTTTTTGATTCTTCTGGTCCATTGTTCTAATGAGTGTATACCTCCCTGGTGATATTATTTACCTTATAGGCCTATCATTTGGCTGAAAGTTGAGTCGTGGGGGTAAGTTCAGTTCTAGGCTTGAAGGGTGTCTTAAGGGCTATAGCCTTGGGGGTGCCACCAGTCTCTATCTGACCATAAGCCTGGTCATTTTTATGATTTTGAGTTTTGTTCCACATTTTTCTCCTATTCTGTCTGGGACTTCCTACTGTGATCAATTTCAGAGCAGTAAACAGTGGTAGCCAGGCACCATGTAGTTCTTCTGGTCTCAGGGTCTTGGACACTGGGGTTCAGATCGTCTATTAGTCCTTTGGACTAATTGTTTCCTTGCTTCTTTGATTTTATCACTCTTCTTTGCTCCGGACTGAGAGAGGCCAATAGTTGCAGCAGGAAGGGTAGGTTTTTCAGGCCCATGGGTTTTGTCCTGAGGGTTTAGGGAGCTATTGAAGTGATCACATGTGAATTTTAGAAATATCTCTCTTGCTATTATAACAGAAATACCATAAGTCGATGGCTTTAATGAACATAAATCTATTCGCACAGTTTAAGAGGCTGGCAGTCTGAATTTAAGGCACCCGCTCTAGGAGAAAGCTTTCTCTCTCTGTTGGCTCTGGGGGAAGGTCCTTGCCTCCTTTCAACATCTGTGGGACCCGCATTCCTTGGAGATCTACATGTGTCTCAGCATCAGTCTTCCCCTGGGTCTAGGAGTTTCTTAGCACAGGGATCCTCAGTCCAAAGGATGCACCCTGATTCTGGCTCTTCTTTCTTGGTGGTACTGAGGTCCCTCTCATCTCTGCTCACTTCTCTCTCCTTTGTCTTTTGTAAGACAAAAAGCAATGCAGGCCACACCCTAGAGAAACTCCTCTTACATTGGATCAGGACTGTGAGTTGAGTAAGAGTGTTGCATCCCACCCTAATTCCCTTACAACTGATTGGCTGATCACATTAAAGCACATCACGGGGGATGATTATATCGTTATTTAACTGCCAAATTACATCATTACATAACTGCCAAACCACTGAGACTCATGGCCTAGCCAAGTTGACACATGTTTTTTGGGGACACAATTCAACCCATGACAGGGCAAGCTGCCATTTGTGCCTGTTGCATCTCTGCAAGAGACCATGGTGAGTGCATCCAAACCAGAGAACTGGGGACTCTTAACCAGTCTTCTGGGGACCTGGCTTTTGAATGAATGTATAAGCTACCTCCTACTTTGCTGAAAGGTCTTGGCAGTGGGGTGAGGAGGGGTACTAGATGTGGGAGCCATGGAAGAGGACAGGAGGAGCATGAGCTGGGCTGGCCTGTGGGACTGTGCTCACCATCTCTCTCTCTCTCTTCAGCTCCCAAAATGGTGATGAAACCGGCACCTGGCCCAACAACCAGTTTGACACAGAGATGCTTCAAGCCATGATCTTGGCCTCTGCCAGTGGTGAGTTATGCCATTGTGTGTGGTGGTATGGGAGACCAAGAGACCTAGGCCTCTGGAGTACCTCCTCAGCCACCATGTCCTAAGACTGGACATCACCTTGTGTTGTGTCTAAGATCTTTCAGCTGGCCCAGAGGCCCCATGATTCCAGTTAAGGAACAGCAGGGGCCCTGGGATGGCCATAGGGGAGTGAACAAGGAAAGATCCATTGAGGAGAGGTGGGTAGTAGTGGATAAGAGTAGGGGTTCCTAGTGCCACTTACTGTCCTTGTGACATCAATTTACTTAATCTCACTAAATCAGTTTCTTCAGGCAAGAAATGAGGACAGTGATTTTTAAAAGGTTGTTATATGAGGATTAAATGAGATGATAGCATAAAGCACTTAGTGCAATGCCTGGAGCATCTCAGGCCTCAATCAGTGGGACTGGGTGTGGATATTCCCGGCACAAAGAACACTACAGCATCTGAGAACTTCCTTTCTCTTATTTGCTGCCCAGAGGACTCTGGTTTTCCCACAAGGCTGACAAACAACCTCACATGCAATAGAAATTCCACAAATGGTGGTTGTCCCTGACTATAGAATCCTGAGCAGGAGACGCAGAATACTATTACCAGTAATTAAAAGTATGGGTTTTAGAGTTATGCTACCACTTAGCTGTGAGTTGCTAAGCTGCTCTGAACCACAGTTTCACTTACTGTGAAATGGGCACAACAGTATTGGTATGAGGGTCAGATGTAAGGATTGGCAGACAATAAGGGCACAAAGGCTGGTGGTTCAAACCCACCAGCCACTCCTTGGAAGGAAGGTTGGGCAATCTACTTCTGTAGTGATACCACCTTGGAAACCCAAGGAGGGGTTGCTATGAGTCGGGTTCGACTTGACAGCACATAACAACAACAACAAGGGCACAATACACGATGGCGATAATGGATTATTATTTTTACTGACTTACAGGGTGGGAGGTAGCATTAGAATAATGCCTATTAATAAAGACCAGGTTCTGAAGCAGCAAATCCAGGGCTTATATGGAGGTTGGCAGAGGATTCAGATACTTATGTGGAAGTTGGCATTGGCCTTACATAGTGAACTTAGGGCTCTGGCCTCCAGTACATCTGAAGCGCTGATGGCATAGAGAACCAGGAAAAAATCCTAACAGTAATCACCATCATAGCTACTGTGTGTTGTCCTGGGCACAGCTAGATGAATTCATGAGCCTCATATCAATTAATCTCAACAGATGTGATTATTTACAGTTGACAGATGAGAGAACTGAGAATTCATTTACCCGGGGCCTCCAGTGTTGAACTGCAGAGCCACATCTCCAAAGTTCAGGCCCTTTCTACTATAGTCACCATGTCTGGCTTTAGATCCAGCCTCAGCTTCCCTTTTAGCCAAATAGACCTATAGGCTGAACTCCTCCTAATGCCCTGAGTTAGTCTACCAGATTAGGGTTGCTAGAAAAAATACAAGGCATTTAGTTAAATTAGAATTTCAGATAAATAACAAATAGTATTCTAGTATATTGAAATGAAACAAAACAAACGAACAAACAAACAAAACACTGCCACTGAGTCAATTTTCATTCATAGCGATCCTATAGGACAAAGTAGAACTGCCCCATAGGGTTTCCAAGGCTGCAAATCTTTATGGAAGCAGACTGCTTCATCTTTCTCCCACGGAGCAGCTGGTGGTTTTGAACCACTGATCTTTTGGTTAGCAGCCCAATGCTTTAACTACAGTGCCACCAGAGCGCCAATTTTTGTATAAATAGGTCCCAAATGTTGCATGGGACATACTATACTAAAAAGTATTCATTGTTTACCTGAAATTCAAATTTCACTGGGTGCCCTGTATTTTCATTTGATGAATCTGGCAATTCTACTCCTGATCTTTGTGAGGCTGAGAGGGGCTAGGCCTGTGGCTGGTGAAGGGGCAAAGGCAGGGAAGGATGCAGGGGTGGGCAATCTAGCGGGCTGTGATTTCAGAGAGGCCAGAACTGAGTATGGGAGAGATGCTGGGGTCTGGGGAGATGCCAAGTCAGGCTCTCCAAGGAAGTAAACACAGTCAGGTATATTTAGCTATTGTGGCCTTGAGCCCTAAGGCCAGGAAGCAGGCTTTCTAGCCTAAACTCAGATTTTAAACACAGAAATGGAATCAGTATTTATGGTCCAAAGCCCTCCCAGACAGTCCCCTGGGGGTTATGGGTCAATGCAGACTCACTCCCCTGTCAGGGCCCCACTTCTCTGGCCCGCACAGGACTCAACCCAGGGCTTAGCCTGGGCTCTGGGGAAAGGACCCTGGGGCTGGAGGTGGCAGGGTCAGGCTCCTACTCTCACTTTCACACCCACTTCCTGGCCCTGGAACCACAGTGGTTCCTGGACTCCAGCCCAGCCAGGCCTGTGGGGCTGCTGAGGGGGAGTAAGAGGGAGAGTAAGTGAAAGCCTCAGATACTTGGGAGGCTTTTTAAATAAACACGGGGGAGGTGTGCACTTGAGGAGGCTAGGGTTTGTACTCAACCTTGGCCTTGGCTGTAGTCTAGCTTGACCTCACCTCCCTGGGCTGCTCTGGAGTTGCTGCCTCAGGGCCAGGCCTGGGTGGAAAGAAGGAGTCTGTGGGGTGGGTGGGGGGGTGAGGGAAATTCTGGAACAGGGACTTTAGATGACCTAAGTAGAGGCTGGTAAAAGGAGAGAAGATGAGCAAGGAGATGAGAAAGAAGGTTCTTTCTTGCTGCCCTTCTCCTTGGACTAAGGGGAGATCCTCGCTCCTGCCCGGTATGGGTCTTGTGTGGAGGTAAAGAGAGGGGCCCTGTACAGAAGTGATTCAAAAGAAGGTCAAAGCTGGCAATATAACTCCCCCCACCCCCAATCGATTGAGTCCTGAATGATGCAGGGCCTTGGCCAAGGTCACACACTGACAGAGCTGATCAGACAGAACTCTGGCCTGAGGCTCTTTCTGTTGCTATGGATGTCCATATCCTTTGCCACTTCTGGTCCAGTCCACCTTCATCTGGCCTCACAGGGCTCTGCCAAAGGCCAGGCCTGTGCCCCTGGGGTAGAGGTGGGCATTTTCAACCGCTCCAGGCACTTCTCAGAGAATCTGGGTTTTTGTAGGTTGTGGGTGGGCCCGGCTTCTAGTTAACCAGTCAAGCCCTTCCCTTTCTTTTCATGCCTCCCCTTCTCGGTTTCTCCACATTTCTTCTTCATTCTCTTCGGCCTGTGTGCACATCCCTCTCTTACTCTCTGGCGCCTCTGAAGTCTCTCCTTTAGCCCCTAGATCACGCCGGAATCCAGGTTCTTTGAAGGAGGATCTGGGCCCCTTCCTCTCCCCGCCCCCTCCATTCCCCTGACGGAAGAGCCTGTTGGATGGAGGGGAGGGGGCGGAGCAGGCAGGACTGGCTCCCTCCCGGAGCTAATTAGGGAAAATGGAGAAAAGTCAGGGACTGGAAAGGCTGGAGGAGGGGACCAGCCTGGGGAAGAGAGAAGGAAATGGGCAGCTGCTTCCTCCCACCGAACCCTTCTCCTTGCCCCCAGAAGGCCCTCTGATCTAGGGATTTGGGGGGTTGAAATGGAGGCCGTGGAAACCCGAGAGCTGGAGTGTGGAGGCGGAGGGGACAGAAGCCCATCTCTTCTCTCCCTTTCCTTATACCCCTCCCCCTTTCATGCCGTTCTTTGAAAATATTTCCTGTCTCTGTTTCTCAATCCCTGGTTGGTGTCCCAGGATTACTCAGCCTCTCCGGCTTTAGTCACCCTTTCAGCCGCTCCCAGGGTCTGGGGTGGGGGGTAGAGGAGGAGTAAACTGGGCTGGGCTTGCCCGGGGCTTTAACCCTCTCACCACCAGAGGATTTCTGGACCTCCAGCAGTGAGCTTCAGTGGACTCTGCTAGGAATCAAAACTCTTTTGTTTGTTTGTTTTCACCCCTTGACTCAGTTAAAGGTGCTCTGGTGGCATAGTGGATAAGGCTGCTAACCAGAAGGTTGGTGGTTCAAACCCACCAGCCACTCCACAGAAGGAACACTGGGCAATCTACTTCCATGAAGATGTACTGCCTCCTCGGAAGGAAACTCAGTGGGGGTGGCTATGAGTTGGAATCCACTCAATGGCAGTGAGTTTGGTTCAGTTTTGGTCTCAGCCCTGAGAAAAATAGTAGCACTTGACTGCTAACCAGAAGGCTGGCGGTTCAAACCCACCAGCCACTCCTCCTCGGAAGGAAGATGGGGCAATCTACTTCCGTAGTGATACTGCCTGGGAAACCCAAGGAGGGGGTCACTATGAGTCGGGTCTGACTCAACGGCACATAACAACAAGAAGAACAAGCATGTTTTGAGCATTTATCATAAACCAGGCACTACCAACACCAGAAGAACGAAACCAAAAAACCCCAAACTCACTGCCATCGAGTCCTTGGGTTTCTAAGGCAGTATCTCTATGGAAATAGATTGTCCAGCCTTTCTTCCAAGGACTGGCTGGTGGGTTTGAACTACCAGCCTTCTGGTTAGCAGTCAAATGCCTTAGGCACTATGCCCTAGAACTAGTATTATTATCCACATTTTACAGATCAGAAAACTGAGAGGGCATGGGAAGTTTAGGTAAACTTGCCCAGGATCACAGCTAATAAGTAAAAGAGGTAGGAATTAAACCTAGGCAATAGGTTCCAGAGGTTCTTAACCTCTATTCTCATTGCTTTATGGATAGACACTGCCTTGGTGACCACTGTATTATTCCCAGTGCTCAGTGTGGACAGAACCCGGGACACTTTGTAGGCATTCATTAACTTCATTTTTGCCATTTCTAACTGTTGAGGAACCTAAGTTTAGCTTTGATCTTTCTCTGTCTCTCCAGAAGCTGCTGATGGGAGCTCCACCCTGGGAGGGGGCGCCGGTACCATGGGCTTGAGTGCCCGATATGGGCCCCAGTTCACTCTGCAACACGTGCCCGACTACCGCCAGAACGTCTACATCCCTGGCAGCAATGCTACACTGACCAACGCAGCTGGCAAGCGGGATGGCAAGGCCCCGGCAGGTGGCAATGGCAATAAGAAGAAGTCGGGAAAGAAGGAGAAGAAGTAATGCAGAGGCCAGGCCTAGAGCCACAGGGCTGCCTCCCTCCCCAACCAGTCCAGCCTCTCCCTACCTGTACCCAGGCCTCAGAATTTCAGGGCTACCCCCATGATGCTGGTAGGGGCCAAGGCCACGCACCTCTTGGGAAACAGAAATAAGTGCCCAGTCAACATCCCCCTCCTCTGCCCCCAGGGGGTTAAATATGCAAAGGGTGTTCTGCTGAGAACCCCCATCCAATCAATTGCTGTGCCCATGGGGATGGTGAGGTTAGTGTAGAAAAAGAGAACCATTTATCACATCCCCTTTAGTTACAGCTGAACTCCTCCATCTTCCAAATTCAATCAGGCCATCCGTCCCCTGCTCCCCCCCTCCCTATCCCACTCCACTCCACTTCTTCAACAGCTCCTCTCTCTTAAGATGGTTGGAGTATTGAGGTACCAGGTGACCTAAAAAAGCTCATAGTTCTGAAGAGTTGGAAGGGTATTGTGGGTCCTTGGCAACTCCTTCAACTCTCAAACTTCTCCCAAAACATGGTTTGGTGCCAGTCCCTTCATCTCCTTCCAGAGTCTGAGACCAAGCTCAAGTTTTGGGGTACATGGTCACCATTCCCATGGTACTGTTGTATGCTGGATTTAGGGAAGGCATTTTGCTGCCAAGCCTTTTCCCAACACCTTGGGGACCAGTCTTTTGTTTTGTTTTTCATTGTCTGGTGTTCCCACTGCATGCTGTGACTCCTGATGCCCCCAAACAAGAGACTCCATTGCATGTTCCAAGACAGTATGGGGTGGTAAGATGACGAGGGAAAGGGTGTGTTTATGTGGATGGGGGGAGAGGGGATGGAAAAAGCATGACCTATCAGTTAACAGGGTCCTACAGGAGACTCTGTATATCCCCAGGGCACTGACCAGGTCCTCAAATTCCATCATAAACCAAGTACCATTCTGAAACCCCACTCCCACATATAGGGCTCATACCAGGCAGCAGACTTTGGGTTGAGTTACCAGGACCAATAGATTTAAACTGGCATTACAATCCAAGGAAACTCTGAGCGAGTGCAGGACCAGGTCTCCTGGAGAGGTCAGAAGGGCCTCTGTGGGTGCTGGGTACTCCAGAGGTGCCACTGGTGAAAGAGTCCAGTGGCGTGGCACCGCAGCAGAGAGGAGGCCCAATTAGACCTGGGTTGGGGAGGCAAGGAGCAAGCGCAAGGTTAAGTGAACAGAAAGCCTCAGCCCAGAATCGGGACTTCTCCACAGTGCCCCTGCATTCCCCAAGGTCCTTCACCTTGCCAGGTGCCATTTTTTTTCTCTGTGAAGGCCACTGTCCAGGCCCCCAGTCCACTCCCCAGTGGCCAGAGCCTGGTTAAAGTTCCCCCAGTGCCTCCTTGTGTATAGACCTTCCTTTGCCCACCCCTTTCTGCTCCTGGAGCCCCGTTCATCCAGCGGGGCTGCGAGAGAACCCCACCCTCGCCCTTCCAGTAGTGTATAGTCCCCTTCCTCTTCAGGCTGCTGTAGAATAGCCAATAGTGTAGTGCGGTGTGCTTCTTACGTGATGGCGAGTGGGCAGCGGGCGGCGGGCTCTGCGCAGCCGTCTGCCCTTGAACCTGCCTGCGGAGGCCCGTGCTGTGTTTTGTGCTGTGTCCACGTGCTGCGGCAACCCTCTTCCCTGTACTGACTCCTTCTATAAGCGCTTCTCTTCGCATAGTCACATAGCTCCTCACCCCACCTCCTATCTGTGTCTCACGCAAGTTTTATACTCTAATATTTATATGGCTTTTTTCCTTTGAAAAAAAAAATAATAAAATGGTTTCTTCTGAAAATTGAACGTTTCTGTAAGATACGAAGGCTCCTGGCGTATGTGGATGAAGTGATGAGGTGTGTGATGGAAGAACGGGGACATAGGCAATGATTGTGTTTGCGACTAGATGTTTCTGAATTGTGTATGTGTGTTGCTGTATGTGCCTGCGTCTGTGTGACTGTCGAATGTGTGTGTAAGCTTACAATATCGTGCATAGAACAGTGTGCGACTGAATCTGTATACCACTGTGGAATTGGCTTGCGGGTCCGTTGTGGGGGTGGGGATTTTGAGTACGGCGTGTCACTGTGTAATTGACTATGCAGTTGCATGCTTGTGGCTGTCTCGGTTACGAAGGGGCCAGTCTCCAGGCAGAAGAGGCGATCCTGGTGCGGGCGGGGGCGGGGGGCGGGCTGGCGGCGGGAAACAGCACTGCTGCGGGTGGAGGACGTTTTCCTTGTTCCCGCCCCTTTCCGCTAAAATTACCTTGAGAGCTTTGCTGGAGGATGGGTGAACTTCTTAGCCCTCTCCCCTCCCGCCCCTGCTGCGTAGTTTTGGGAACAAGGGAATTCTCTGTAGCTGGGACCTCAGTTTCCCCAGCTGGAATTCTCCCTGCTCAACTCACCGCAGCAGCGAAGCCACGGGACTTGGAGGACCCATTCCCTTCTTGCAGTAGTCAAGGAGACTGAAAGGGCGCGCAGGAAATCAGATCGCCCACCGCCGACACAGCACCCTCTTCCCTTTCTTGGTGCTTTTCCATTCACCCTTGGGCTCTCCCATCTCCCCGCCCCCTCCACCTGCATCCTCCAAGCTCAGTGGGATTCCGAGGTTACTGTAGCTTGAAACTGCGGAAAAACAAGAGAAGGGAATATGGGAGGGGTGGGAAGTGAGAAATACGTGGGTCATCAGGGGGGTGGGCGATAGGATGTCCAATCAGAGGACCGGAGGCGGCTGTCTCTGGGCTTCCTCACTGCGGAATCAGAGCTCAGCCCCTCTTCCTCCCAGCTCCCTAAGTCTGTTGTCATGGAAACGAAGCCTTCCAACTATACATCTGGAGGCGAGTCTCTGGCGTGGGAGGGAGGGTGGTGCACATGGTTGCCCAGATCGAAGCAGGGTTTTGTTTCTGAGTCTGGCTGGGGGTGGGGGTGGGGAGCGCGGTGCTGGGGCGCCTGGGTTCTATTCCCGGCACGGCTGCAGACTAGCAGAGCCAGTGAACAGCTGTTGTTGGTCTCCTAATTGGTATGTGTGCCCATAAAGCTCTGAGCCAGAAACGCGTGGCCTGGGGTGCGGGGCAGGATAGGCTGGCAGCCCACCCCCACATCTCTGACCATACCGGAGAGGCAGCTGCCCGGCTCCAGGCAGAGCTATTTAAAAGGTTTTTATTTCTAGGTCCAGTGTCTGCCCAAATGGGTTTGCGGTCTTCTTCCAATCTTGTCCCTGCTCACTGCTCATAAGGTTTCTCTGTGCAGGTCACAACGTGCCAAGACAACTATAACACTGAGCAGCAAGTCATCTGGAGCATGACCTGGGGCTTCTGACCTCGGCTGGCAAGCTCAGGTTTCTGCCCAGAGTATAAACCCCTCTAGTCTGGAATGTGGCCTGTAGCCACTAAAGGAGTGGTGGGAATGGGAGTCAGATGCTTCCCTCCGATTCACGGGTACTGCCAGGAAACTGTGCGACATCTGAGGGATGGGGAGGTGAGGAGTTAGAATTCAGTTCAAAAGAAGGGTTTCAAGCCAATAGACAGCAATGTGGAAGAGACAGGGTACTGACCCTGGCTCCCATTCCTTTATGGTCAAATACCCTGAGATAAGCTCTGATGAAGCAGAAGCCACCATATATGTATTAATAGTCATCTCTGTTGCCTGTGCCCAAGCATAGGGTCTGGCATAGGACGGGCATCTTAAGATTTTTGACAATGATTTGTCAGTTCAACCAAGAGTGTGGCAAAGAGTAGAGGAAGGTGGACCAGACTTAAAATAGCTCAGAAATTCACTTAAAAAAAAAAAAAAAGGCTTTCAGGCAGTACTGCTTCAATGTTTTATTAACAGTTGGAAACAAACCCAACAAACTGGAGATGATGACATCCCAAAAGCCCAAGAGGCACGGGAAATAGATTTGCATTTTGTCTTGTTTTTTCTTTTTTCTTTTTTTTATTAAATGCATCGTAGCAAAAGTAGATTAAAAAAGAAAGGGTCAAAGCCCCAGATGACAGCGAGAAGGGAGAAGAAGGGGACCAACAGGCCCCTTGTACCACAGTCTTCCCGGGAACAGCTCCAAGGAGCTGCTGTAGCCCCTTTATACACAGGCTCAAGCATGTTGGACTGGCCTAGCAACCAGAACCCTTTTTCCTGGCCCCAAGATCACCCTTAAGTCTCCTAAGCTTCCCTTTGCTCTAATAATTACAATTCTGGGCTGAGCCCTAACCGCACTATTCTCTCTCACCTATCTAGGGGTGGGAAGCTGAGAGGGGCACAAGGAGGGCAAAAGTGTCACCCTGAGCCGGGAATCAGAGCTTCCTGTGGTTGGAGCCACTCAACAGTTTGGCCTGCCTGCTGTTCAGAAGGGAGGAGGAGTACAGTGTGTGTGGGCACTCCCTGTGCCCACTTCCCCAGAGTATCCAGTTAGTATCTGCACATTTGGCTTGATAAATATATTAAATTTATAAAAGCTCTGTGGTCTTAGAGCTCATACTATTTCTAAGCCTGGCCCAGCGCAACCAAGAAAGAGGTTCTTCCTATCCTAGAATTGATGCTAGGAGAGAAAATCTGCCTTGGCCTAAAGGCTTGAGGGCTGAGGTGGAGGTCCAGGGCCCTTGTTCAGGATTGAGGCCTGTGGGGAGAAAGCCCAGGACTCTAGACCTACCTTCAAAGCCTCTTACGTTATGGAGGAGAAAAGGGGAGATAAGAGATATTTTTTCTTTAAAAAAAAAAAAAAAAAATCTCATATAAAAATAGATCCATTTGCAAAACAATTTCTCAGCCAGGAGGCTCCACCTCCCATTTCCTTGGAGACATAGAGGGTGAGGTGTTAGGATGCTCACAATACAGCCCATACTCCAGGTAAGACACATCTAAGTGCTGGGGAGGAGTAAGGAGGAGTCTTGGCTCAGTAGCCTTGGGGCTGGTGCAGAGGGTCCAAAGAAAGGGCATAAAGCCAAAGCATGGTAGCACTGTCTCTGGGCCCTCCCTCCCTCCTTGCTTGCCTGCCTGTCTGCCCACCTATAGCCTCTGGCCTGGGCCACAAATGAATAGGTAACGTGGTCCAGATCCTTTCTGTTTTAGAAGGTCTTTCCCAGGAAGGTAGGTTAAGGGTGGGATTTGCTCCCCTCTCTTCCCTAGAAGCAGCTCCCAAAGCCATACCACTAGTAATAAATAACAGTAGCCAAGAGAGGAAGAGAAAGAGCAGAGGTGACAGCAGTGAAAGGAGGGATATAGCTCAAAGGTTCACAAGCCCCATGCTGTTCTTAGGGTCAGAGAAACTGTAAAAGAAAAGCACAAATCCAGCAAGATTGACCTAGGAAAGCCCACTGGAAAGTCAGGGGCTGAGAAAGCAAGCTGGCCTTGTCTGAGTGAGGCCTCAGAGTAAAAGAGACAGTTAGGGTTAAGGCAGCAAACATGGACCCTGCTTTGGTAATAAGACAGCCAGGGCTGGCCGGGTTGGGCTCAAGCCTCCCCCATACTGCCCTTTCCTTCTGGCCTCTGGGCAGCTGAAGCTGTGTGTGATGTACGGAGAGCAGCAGGCCAGAGAGGAAGACAGGGTCAGGGTGGTGAGAGTGGCCACCCCAGAGCAATGTCCCCTTGACCCTTTAGGCACATGCTGCAGGGCAGGACAGTCTGGGTCTCTGCTGAGGAGCTGCTGTGGCCACAGGACCCAGCTTAGCTTGCACGGCCAATCAATTCCTTAGTTTCCTCCAGGACTGTGGAGACTCCCTCACTCTTCTTGGGCACCTTGGCAGGAACAGCAGTCATGGCATCTTCCTTGGTCATTTCCGAGGCTAGCAAAGATGTCATTGCACATCCAGGCTTCCTGTTGACTGCAAGAGAAGACAGGAGAGATCTCATCCATGGAAGGCCTCATTTCTAATCCCTTTTGAACTCTACTGCCATTCAGCCAGAAGCCATGCAAACATGCCTGTGCTGTCCAGTTCAGAGAGGCCCTTATTTGAAGGAGGAGATCCAAGAATATGTGGAATATGCATCTGGATGACAGAGAATGTAAGATGGTTGTGGAGGCAGGAGAATAGGCCTTGCTTGCCCTTGCTTCCCATGTGAAAATAATAGGAAGTCACATACGGCTAGACAGATAGAACTGGGTTCAAGTATTAGCTATATGACTTAGAGACAGATGAAGTATTCAAAGCCTCTGGTCCCTCATCATAGATTTGTTGGAATTAAATAGGCTAAAGCTTGGTACACAGTACTATCTTTACTTTCTTGGGAGCTCCCAGGAAGCTCCTAAGACAAACTCTTTTTAGTCAGTCCTAGGGAAGGTTGTCCCTAATAGAGGAACGCCTTTAGCAGGCTTTCATGAGTAGGGGGATGGGGGAAGGGGAGAGGGAGGGGCTTCTGCAAAGAGGACCAGCCAAGCTCTGACATCATATGCCTATCACACTCCCATGTACTCCATCTATCCTTCCACCCCCACATAGATGCCCACACGCCTAGCTCTTTCCCATCTCTTCAAGGGTAGCAGATGTGATACAAATGCCCTTCAAAGTGTGTAGTGTATGGGGAGTAAAGAAAAGTGTGTCAGGGAAGGCAGAGCTGGGATCGAGGATGGCCAGGAAGAAGCCTCTACAAAGAAATGTCAGCACCAATTGCCTAGGGCATTGTGAAGCTCCAGTTTTCATCTCAAATAAAAGAACCAAGCCATCCACGAGTTTCTGCTCCAACTACTGGGATCTGTCTTCAAGACTTCCTTATTTATTTATAGAATTCAGGCTTATGGGCCCAGTATCCTCAATAGGAAGATGGCTCTTTGGGACTATGCCCATCTCATGCTATTTGCCTCTTTCCATGGCCTAGAAGCAGCAGAGAGACCACATGTACACAAAGAACTGCTTGGGGTGAAAGAAGCCAGAGTGGAAGACCACATATGGTAATGATTCCATGTATATAAAATGTTCAGAACAGGCAAATCCATAGACACAGAAAGCAGATGAGAAGCTAGCTGCCAGGGGCTGGAGGAAGGTGAGGATGAGGAGTTAACAGGTATGGGTTTGTTTCAAGGGGTGATGAAAATGTTCTAGAATTAGATAGTGAATGAAGATGGTTATAAAACTCTGTGAATATACTAAATACTTAACTGCACAGTTTAAAAGGGTATATTTTAGGTATGTGAATCATATCTCAACTAAAAGAAAAACACAAGAGTTGCCTGGGGACACGCATGCTGGAGTGGAAGAAGCAGTGCCTTAAAGAAGCAGGAACAGAGCAAAGAAAGCTGCTGTTGTTGGGACGATGCCCGTCTCGTGCATGCCTCTTTCCATGGCCTAGAAGCAGCAGAGAGACCACATGTACACAAAGAAGGTTAGTTGCCGACTCATGGAGACCCCATGTGTTCAGAGGAGAATTGCTAGGCTTTTCAAGGCTGTGACCTTTTAGAAGCAGATCAACAGGCATGTCTTCTTAGGAGCCTAAGGGTGGGTTCAAACCAGGGCTTCAAACTGGTTTGAACTGGTTAAGTCATGCCAATGAAGTGAAACCAAAAGAGACCCATATTTTTTAAAATTTAGGTGAAAAGAACTGTAACTGGAATGAAAAATATTATAGGTCAAAGCCCTGGAATGGGAGACTTGGAAGAGGTATAGTGAGCCCTTTTATGACACTGGATTATTGGTGAAATTGTGAAGAGCAACACACACTGAAAGTGGCATGGTTGGCTGCCATCTTTGAGCTGGACACTGGTATTTCCCACTCGGTGTGCAAGGTTGCTATGCAGTGTGTATGCTGCCCTAAAAGGGAGATTAAGTTTCTAGCAGGACTGTGACCTATAATTTTTCCCATTCCAGTTATTGTTTCAGTTCACTCAAATTTGTAAAATTTGTGCTTGTTCAGTGTCACTTCCTTGGCCATAACTGAACTGGGCTGAACTGGTTTGAAGGCCTGGTTTGAACCACCAGTCTTTCAGATAGTAGTTGAGTGCCTAACTGGCTGTACCAAGAAGCCTAAAACCAAAAAAACCCCAAACTTGTCACCACAGAGTCAATTCTGACTCATAGTGACCCTGTAAGACAGAGTAGAAGTACCCCACTGGGTTTCTAAGGCTGTAATTTTTATGGCAGCAGATTGCCCATCTTCCTCCCATGGAGTGGCTGATGGATTTGAACTGACCTTTTGGTTAGGAGCTCAGTACCTAACCACTGTGCTAACAGGGCTTCAAAGAAGCCTAGCGCTCCTAAATAAAGACTACAGGACTGGGGCAGCTGTGGGACATAAGCAGGAAGGAAGAAGAAGTCCACAGGAGCCAGTGAGCAAAGGGGCCAGAGCTCCTTTGCCTTCTTTGGACCAGCCACAAGCTTTGGGTAAAGCAAAGCCAAATTAAATCAGATTGCCTAAGCCTTCATGCAGCTGTCGGCCTCCCTGTGGAGTTATGACCCAGAGCCACTGTGCTTTCACACAAGCAGGGACTACACACAGGTCAGGCAGGGAGCACAGCATGCTCACAGGTTATCAGTTTCTGGGTATCCTCCTCCTCCTCCTCCTCCCAAGGGCACAAGGAATTGTCTAACAAGAGGAGAAAGAATAGTGAAGACTGACTGACAGCTACAAGGACTTATCTGGTTATAGAACGAAGGTATATGACCTTAGGTTGTACACTGCGTATCTAAGGTATGTGGGAATTTCAAAGAAATAACTCCTTTGGAATAGGAATACAGTAAATTCATACAGTGAAATCTGTGGGAGCCAGAATTTACTGTTTTTCCAGGTCTTGCAAGTCTCACCTTTTGCAGTCTTACTACAGAAAAGTAGAAAAATTGCTCATTTTGGTGGACAGTATTTGAGTTTTCCTTCTCTGACAGGTTTCTGCCTTATATAGGTTTTGGCTTTCTCAGGTTTTACTGTATTGTCTCAGTGACTGAGAGCTGAAGAAAAGGAGCCCACTTGGGTTGACATGTACCTGTGTATGTTTCTCCTATGCTGCTTCTCTTAGTCTCCTCTCACCTGCAAAATCTTCCCGAGACCCACTTAGCTCCCTTCTCTTCTGAAGTACTCTCTTCTCTTGGACCCTGCTTCTCATGTCCAGAACGGCAGTGGCTTGATACTACCTTACTGTTCCTTTGAATCCAGTCTCTAGCAGGTATTTCTAGAGAAAATACTGCAATTATTTGTGTGTGTGACTCTGAGGGTGTATATATGTGTGTGTGTGTGAAATAACTACTGCCTCCGACTCTGAGAAAAAGAACATTGGATCTTAAGGGACACTTGTGTTGTGCAACATAGCACATGTCAGAGTTCAAGTGTGGCATGTCTTAAGCTGTCTTTCTCTAAAGAAGTACTCTATACTAAGAAGATACCATTGTATCCAATCAAGCAGTTTTTCTAGACTCAAGAAGCTTTTGGTGCATTACAGCTTTTCTAAAAACTAAAAGTGGATGAAAGTTGGGGAAAAGAAAAAACTTCCCATTCAAACCTACAGAATAGGTTGACTAGGGATGGACATGATGTGGCCTAAGGTGAGAGATAAGAAAGTTCTTGTTGGAACTGGCAACAGAATCAACAGAATCTAGAATCCTTGCTTCTGCTCTGCCTCCACTGCCACAATGATACTCAGAAGCTTGAATGAACAATCAAGAAAAAAATAACCTCTCACCACCTTTCTCTAACTTGGGAACTTATTGATACTATTGAAAAGGAGCCATAGAACCAAAGAAATACTTTTACTCTATGTGATCACAGAGGATTATTAACTTATAAAACTGTGGAGAAAAGGAAACAATCTCAAGACAGTGATGAAAGCTCCCTGAGGACAGATTCTTAGAAGTTAGGGGTGGGCTAGGATAAAAACACCAGTAAAACCAACCATACTGTACCAGTACTGCTGAGTTAGAAAAAGGTTAGTGATCTGGAAAAGGAGTTCTATAAAGCATATGATAGGAACTACTACTAAAGAGGAAGTGCTCTTGTTAATAAGCTTCCTTAGGGAAGAGGAAACTAGGACAGATGGGGCAATCATTACCATCTTCAAAACTCATTATTATCTAAGACTCTCCTAATTAGAATTCCTGTCCTATTTTTACAAAAAGAGAGAGGGGATAAATGATAGTATAGAAAACATTCTTATCAACCTTCTCTAGACAAGTGGTCCTTGGAAAGCCTCCCTCCGGCAACTGCATCACATCCACGACTCTCCTTGCCGGACGGTATGAAAAAATACCTGGCCCATACAGAGGGGTCACTGCTATCTCCTGTCCAGTCATGTAAGTTGAGTGGAAATAGCCCTGGACTTGGATTCACAAAAATGGTCTGCAGTTCTGGCTTTCTCATTAACCACTATGTAGACCTGAACAAGTCAATCATCTTATCTGGATATTAATTCCTTTTACTCTGGTGGTGCTGTGGTTAAGGCATTGGGCTTCCAACCAAAAGGTTGGCAGTTTGAATCTACCAGCTGCTCAGCAGAAGAAAGATGAGGCAGTCTGCTTCCATAAACATTTATAGCCTTGGAACTGTATGGGGGTTGCTATGAGTTGGAATTGATTTGATGGCAATGGGTTATGAGGGTAAGAGTCCTGGTGGCACAATGGTTAAGCACTCAGCTGCTTACCAAAAGGTTGGTAGTTTGAACCCACCAGCTGCTCAGCATGAGAAAATGTGGCAGTCCTTAAAGATCATAGCCTTGGAAACCCTATGGGTCAGTTCTACTGTCTTATAGTGTCACTATGAGTCAGAATCGACTTGATGACAACAGGATGAAGAGGCTAATGCTATCACTAAACTAAATCAAACTCACTGCTGTCGACAGCAGTGAGTTTCCCAAAGCTAACTCATATTAGTGTTGGTACAGTTTATAGGTAAGCTGGGAAGTGGGAGAGAGAAGGAAAGGCAGAGAGAGAATTTCTTTCTTGACTTTTATCACAGTGAGCAGATGGCTTGTATATAAGAGGCTACAATTCAGACATGGAGATAAAGTTGAGTCATTAAAACCATAAGCTGACTCAATCATCAGCCTGAAACAGTCACTGTGATACAATCACATGGATTCTTCCCCTTGACACTCAAACCATTGTTCTCCCACACCCTGCAGATCATAGCAGTTTACATGTTGCTTTTAATGAACCAGCCCTGATAGTAACCCTCCTCTTCCAACTCCTCAATAGATCTTTGTATACTGGTCATTCCCTCAAGTCTCTGGAGACCAGAAGTTTTTTTTTTTTAAAACATTCCTTTAAATTCTAGTGAAAAGGCTAGTAGCTTTGAATAGGGACAGCTGTCTCTTTAGGAATGTCTGTGAGGTAGGTATGCTGGGAGTGCTCAAAGCAATCAGCCAGGAGGGACAGTCCGGCAAGGGATGGAACAGCTAAGTCCAGAAACCACAGAGGGAAAGGGAAACACATAGCCACTTAAAACTTTTTATTTTGAGAATGGTGTTTTCTGGCTTTAGCCACTTCTTCCACACTTAATCTATTATCACCATACCAAAACAAACAAACAAACAAATACCTGTTAGAGCTGGAAAGGACCCTACAGACTACTCTAGACCAACTCTCTCATTGACTTGCCAAAGATAACACATAGCATACTTGAATTTGGATCTTTTGATCCCTCTACCTAAAACTATGCTCTCTGCGTATCATTTCTTCCTTCTGCTTAATGCTTAATGTAAAGCCACATCACTTTACATAATGTGAATGCACCAAGGTCTAAAAATCTTATCCGAATAACTAGAAATGTCACCCCTAAGACAGTCTCCAGATAAGTTCAGGTGTGCTTAGTGAACCAGAGTGCAGAAAGATGAAGTTACAGGATAGAGCCAGTTTAAAAAATACTTATCATTTTCACCTTCTTTTCCCTTCAGTATCCCCTAGTCTATATAAGTCTCTTCCTATTCCCTTTTGTCCTGGGAGATAGCTGTTTGACTAATTTTGGTCCTCAGCTGAAAGGTTACCAAAACCCATTGCTATGAAGTCAATTCAGACTCATAGTGACCTCACAGGACCAAGTAGAACCACTCCACAGGATTTCTAAGGCTCTAAATCTTTATGGAAGCAGACTGCCACGTGGATTTGAACCACTGACCTTTTAGTTAGCAGCTGAGCGATTTAACCACTGTACCACTAGGGTACCACTAGGCCTGAAAGGTTAGGTTCCAACAAAATCCATGTTTTCCCCAGCCTGGTTTCTCACTTTGGGAAGAAATGGAGAAGGGGGCTTCCCCAGCAGTGGGAAGCCATTGATGTCTGGCAGCATGTGTACAGGAAGCATCTGGGATTCTGGTACAGCTCCACAGGAAGATGCTTAAAAGGGAATTCCCCATCAAAAAGTCTGATGCTTGACAATAAGCTGAGTGGGATGAGGAAAACAGTGAGATATACAACACACTCTTATTTGGCTAGAATGCTTAATTTAAGGCCACTTTGCCTTATATAGTGAATAAGAAACAAGGTCTGAAGAAGCTCTGAAGATTAGATACAAAAGAAATACTACTAGTTATCCTTTCTACCCAAACACCTATTTATAAGACCAAACTCTATCCCTGAAAGTTTTCAGCCAATACTTACCTCTTCTCCCTTCTAGAGAACCTGAACTGAGAGGATGCCAGAACACGGCTAAGATCTGTGACTAGGGAGTCTTTTGCTTAGGGAAGGTTCTAAAGTCATACAGAAGGGTCCTCAGACGAGAATTTCCCTCTGGGTATTCAGAGTATGAATAGATTCATTACAGATGAAACTCAACAATGATCTATAACTTTTAGGCCAGGCCTTGAGTTTATGTGGGCTAGCTTGATCCTGAGGTTTCCTTTTCAGACTGTGACAAGTACTATAGAGGTCCTACCACTGTGTCAAAGCAAGTTATATAACTCTTTCTCTATACAATAACCTCTAGGTAAAGCTCATATCAAACAGGCCTATAGACTTCACCAACCAGAGAACAGGGAAGACAGCTTTAGGTAAAACACAAAATCCTGGGGCTTAATGATACCTTTTCTGTAACTCTCATATTTCAACCTAGGAAAGAAGCCATCAGTACTAGCTCCAAAGGGCCTTTACTAGACACAATAATGCAGGTGAATCCCATCTGAGGGCAGCTTTGGCTGTATTTTCTTTTGGACCAAACTTTTGGCCACTATATGTTTTCCTTAAAAGAAATTTATCCATTGATCCTGCCTTATACTAACACCTGGATCATTTGTCTTCCTATCCCCATAATTCTTACAAGCCCTGGCTTAATGTAATCCATTTAACTCTGAAGATTAGGAGAGGTAGTTGCAGGGGAGGAAGTAAGGGAAGGCAAGGACAGCTCCTGAAAAAAGGTGGTTCTCAGCACAATACCCCACTGAGATGCTCCTTTGCACTCTGACCTCTGGGGATGATGTCTGCCCTTCTACATAGAATTTTATACTATTATTAGTTTTCTCTATATATCTTTTCTGCTTGTGAATGGACTTGACTTATATTTTCTTTGTATTTCCTACATCTGGGTAGTTTTGGATTTAGGTTCATTTTTGTTCATCACACAAACACCCACACCTTGTGTCCTGCAGCATGGTCCCCTTGCTCCAGGTTGCTGCTTCAAGTATGGGGAGAAATGCAAGAATAATCAAATACTGACTTGTTATCAGTCCTTCAAGCTCTAGTTCTCTTAGGCAGTAGATACTTTTCTAACTGGGAGAAAGAGGGCTAGACAACCTACTCTAAATGCAATCACTATTGTGCTGGAAGTTTCTAAACCCTGAGGGCATTGTTACCTGCTCTTCAGCCCAAGACTAGCTGGACCAGGAGCAGAGGAGCTTCATCTCCTTCAGCAGCCGGCTGGGTTCCAAGTGATTACTTACCCTGACGGGGTCCCCTCTTCCGACGGAATGCTGCACCCGACTGCAGGGCTTCTAGAAGACTGTCCATCACACCTGTCTCATCGCCCTCTGTCATGAACAAAGATGGAGATGTAAACTCTTCAGCCTGAGCAGCCTGGCAAATATCAAGCTCCACACAGAGTGCAAAGTTATTGTGTGGCTTGCTGTCACTCATTGTGACTGGCAGTGAAGACCAGACAAAGAGGGCTCAACCTCAAGTCTCAGAGTCCCATGTTTACTTGTGTCTGTTTAGAAATGATTGAAACAATGGATTTCTCATTGCCGACTATCAGTGCATACTTTGGGATATTTTCCTGCAATGTCCAGTGATCAGCTTCCCTCACCCCAATTAGGAACAGCACATTTGTTTTGCAGAATTTCCCAACTCCAAGACCAGAATAAGTAAAGAGAATGGGATTATGAAACTAATAAGGAACTATCACTCCCCCATTATCCTAAAGTATTTCATTCCAATGTACATAAACCTCTAATGGAAAGCCTCAGGTTTCAGAGCAGGGCTGAGCAAAGATGAGAGACCACCGATAAAGAGCAGATTTCACTTAAGTGCTGCCTCCAGTGGCCACATTTTCCTGAAGTCAGCTCTACATATAAGTGGAGTATCTTGGTTGGAATACAAAGAGTTAATGCAGAATCCTTGTTCTAGCCAGGCTCAGTTTCCATGGCAACAGCTCAGGGTGGTGAAATCTAAAACTGTGAAATCCCTAGGAGCCAGTTGGCTGCCAGCTTTAAGGCCAGGGCTCACTGCTCATGGCGCCACCTGCTGGCTGTACATCACCAGTACAGCTGACCTACATTCCAACCTCATCTGCTGGTCCTGGGGATTGGGGACAGGGGCAAGGTCCACTACGCCACCTGTTGACCTCATCCCACATGTCAGTTGGATTTCACCTTTATTACACCCTAGACAGTATCTGGGGACAACCCCAGAAGCCTGAGATATATAAGGGAAACTAAAGAATACTTGATGAGAGCTTTAATAGCATTATTAGAACAGGGTTTGTAGCTGAGGTAAGGCAGGTAACTGCTTCCCAGTAAAGTATACAGGAAAGAAATGTAGGCTGCTTTCTTCAGGCTCAAATTCCTGGCCTGTGGGAACATAACAGGAACTACCAAAGAAAAGGCCCTGGAACAAGAAATGTCAGAGCAGCCCTTGCCTTTCATGCTCAGTCGAGTGCTCTGATTCTCGCCAGACCCAGCAGCCCTGAAAACCCCTTCCCTTGGAGAAGGCTCACAGCCCCTCAGGTTCAGGGAAGGGTGGCATCAGCTCAGAGCTGTGGGCAATGAATGCTGTATTTCCGCTGCCCACAGAGAGAACAGTCAGAGAGAGGGGGGCAGGGAATCAGCAGCAGGAAAGAAGCAGAGACAGGAAACGGGGGACCAGTAATTGAGGCCATATGTTTCAACAAAGACATGCTTCTGGTAGGAAGTAGAGACTCTGCTGGACAAAGAAGAGCGTGGCCAGCTCCATTCCTCTCCCCTCCAAAAGTTCAACCCATTTACAATCTGATAGTTGTGTACAATTGTGTTAAGCTTCTGGAGACAGAGTACTCAGTGAAATAAGCAGAAAGGGAGAGCATGTCACCATTAAAAGATGGGAGAAGGGCCAGGAAAACATTCTGGAATGTGGAAAAGAACGGAAGATTTAGCAGAGGGGATGAGAACAGGCCAGAGGAACCTTTGGACAGGCAGAGGAAAAGAGTACGTGTTACAGCAATACTAAAATCACTGGGGAGATGAGATACAATACAAGAAGCAGTAAAGAGAGAAAAAAAAGATGTTAGCAGGGAAAATTAAGAGTATGCATGTAACTGATTTGGGGTTAAAGTCCAGCATCAGGGTATTAGAAGTTGAAAGGTGCCAAAAATTATTTGCCAGGAGTTGAGCTCAGACATAAGCTATTCTCTCTCGCCTCTAACTTCGAGAGAGAAAAGGCTTCCAAATGTTCCTGCCTCGACCCATCTGCCTTTCTTCACTTCTTACCTGCATTCATGTCTATGAGTTGCTCTCTCTTCTGCTGCTTCTCCAGCCGCTCCTTCTCTGCCTTCTCCTTGGCTAGTTTTGCTCGCCGCATCTTTTCCTCTGTCTCCCGCCGCTTCTGGTTCTCCTTGACTGCTTGCTGTGGGGAGAAAATGAACACATGGGAATGTATACAGCCATACCCACACTCAGCAACATGAGCCCAGTGGAGAGTGAGAAATCTTCACAAAAGACATCAGACACTAGGTGCCCCTGCTCACCAAAAACATATTCCTAAAGTTGTTTAGGTCCATGAAGAATTCTTCCACAGATACTTTTTTGGGGTCAAAGAGGAAGTAGTCGCCCAACTCTTTATAGAGGGTCTCCATGTTAGAATGCATCATCTGCAGCTTGTTATACTGCTCCTGTGCATCCTTTACAAAGCTGTGCAGCCAAGGAGTAAAGGACCAGGACCAGAGAAATACTCAAATAAATGCATGTCGCATGCACAGAGATGTTCAATACAGCACTGCTTCTAATGGTAAAAAACAGGAGAAATCTAAATATTCAAAATAGACAAATGGTAAACCCTAAACTATGGCACCCCTATGAAATAGGAAGTGGCAATTAAGAGAGGCTATTCTGCATATACTGCTATGAACAGAAACTAACAATATGTGAAAAAAGCAATACCATGCAATTTTTGTTAAAAATAAATTCCTGAAGTCTTTGAGAAAAGGAAGGAGGGGAGTATGGGTTTATGTGTGTAATGGAGGTACAGCACAGGGTAGTGGAGGTCAAGGGAGACTTGTATTTCATCTGAATGGTTTGTTTCCCCTACTCCAACAATGCTAATGCTTTCAAGAGCTATGTATTTAATGGAAAAAAAGAAAACTTTTAAGAGGGAAAAATTATATATCATTCGACCTATCCTACCTACTGCCCCCCATACCCTGTTTGAGAAGTTTCCTTCTTCTCTTAGGGTACAGCTCCCTCATTTTGAGAAAGGATATAGTCATTTTTTCAACAAACTTGTCTTTCTCATCTGTGGCAGCTGGGAAATTTTGAACATCACGTTCCACATCAGAAATTTGTTTCTTCATCTGATCTAGGTTCTTTTGCAAGTTCTCAGCAGAAACTAAAAAGACAGAGAAAGAGTTTACTAATCCCAGTCTCAAGACCCCTTTGCCTCCACCCTTCAGGTCACAGCTGGGTCTATACACACATTCTGGTACTTAATTATTGTAGCTGTCTTCTAGCTATTTCACACATTTAAGTTTTCATCTTTCCAGTGAGACTATAAATTACTTGATGGTTTAACCTCTAGTATTCCCAAGGTATACAGTACTAAGACCATAAAAGAAGCTTCATTTAATTTAATAAGAATTTATAAAGTCCCCTGGGATCATGGTCTCATTTATTTTAGAGGACAGGGTTTGGGAAGAAGACATACACAGAAATATAAAGGCAGGGTAGAAACCTGCTTCTCCCCTCCCCCCCTTTTTTTTTGGCCTTTGTTCTGATTTTTGTTAAGCCAATCTATGTTTTCTGAATAAGAAAAACAATGAGTGTTAACCTAGACTAAAAAACAAACAAACAAAAAAAACCTGACTTTCTTCTAGCTGTTTTTCAGTGTTAGAGAAATCAGTGCTTTCCATTTCTACACAGAGACCTCTTGTCTGCCTTGTACCCTTTTGTGGCTTAGACACCATGCCTAAACTCTCTCCCATTCCCACTTAAAATAGTCAATACTGAAAACGATCTAAAACCTAGACTGTGCCTTAACTCCCCCCTCATGCATAGACTTTGGGCGCCCTAACTATCTACTTCACTCCAACTTGCCCCACCTCGGCTGGCCTTCTCCACATGGGCAAGTTCATCTGGAAACTTGAGGACATCAGGATAGTCAGTCTCACACAACTCAGCCAAAAAGTGTAACAATGTCATCTTCTGATCTGTGGACTTGGTGTCTCGAAGCTTAGGGTGAGAGAAAACATGGTTAGCCCTGATACACCTAAAATCACCTTAAGCCAACATTAGTTTGTCACTCTGCTGTCCTGTTCTAGCTTCCTGGCTCACCTTACAGAGGAAGCTAATATTGAAGCCAAAGGCTCCAGCATTCCTGGAGCCAGCATTCATATAGTTTCCAACAAGCAAGGTAATCTCCAGGAGGTTAGAGAAGCTCTCACTTTTGTGTAACTCCTCACATGCAGCAGTCACAGAAACAATTTCTGGCTTGATATTCTCCACTTGCTCATTGAATTGTAGCTTGAAGAGGATAGCATTCAAGCGAGGCCGCAGTCGGGGAACAGTACCCATCTGGTAGGGAAGACAAGCAATTCCATTACAGACAACAGAGAAAAATATATAGGTCTGACCCTCCTGTGGAGGACAGAGTTCAAGAATAGGGAGGAGATATAAAGATAGGTTCAAATTGGACAAGAGGTAAGGAGCAAGTGCCTAGACTGTTCTCCATGCAGTGGAGGTGGAGAAGAGCTTATGGCCACAGGCCTCACTCACCACTACGCCAAATTGCTCTGACTCAGCCAGGTCATCATATTCATCCTTTAGTTCAGAAAGCATTTTTAACTGTTCTGGCTCTGGCATCTGCTTAATAAGGTTCTGAAAGAGAGAGGGGCTGTTCTCAGTTTGAGCAGGATTAGCTGACAACTTGAGCTTTCATTTGACTCTTCTACTCTCCTGTAAAAGAGCTGTGGTAGCGAAGTACGTAAGGCATTTGACTGCTAACCAGAAGACTGGTGGTTCGAACCCATAGCCACTCTGTGGAAGGAAGACAAGACATGGAAGTTCCATAAAGATTTACCACCTTGGAAACCCAATGGGGGTCATTATGAAACTCAATGTTTTTTTTTTTTTTTTAAAACTCTCCTGTCAGTCCCATATTCTGCCCAACTGCCATTAAGAAAAAAATGTGTTGGAAGGGTAGAAGATTAGAGGCAGCTACTGAGATGGTAGGACTTTAAAAATATATCATAAATAATTAACCATCAAGAGCACTGGAAACTTCTCCAAAGCTAGCATTTTTTAAGCCCACAGCACTAGAGGACCTTCTTAATCTAAGTAGAGAGATGTGGCCGTGTCCAGCTACACAGAACAGCCAGCTCCAGCAGACAACCTTGCTCCTTACCTGGATCATAGACTCAGTCAGAACGGCCTCATTCACCTCCAGGATGACAGTCTTAATCTCCTGATAGGGCATTCGGAAGGAACCCAAAAAGATTGCTGCCAGCAAATAAGACATAAAGACATTCTTCTTAGATTCTTCTCCTCTCAACCCATGTTAGATAATCTTCCTAAGAGGGTTCCCTTAAAGTCCCTTCAGAAACTTCAGATAGCTCCTTCTTGTTGTTGTTGTTATATGCCATCGAGTCGGACCCAACTCATGGTGACCCCTCCTTGGGTTTCCGAGGCTGATAATATCACTACGGAAGTAGATCGCCCCATACTGACTATATAATTAAAACCCAAGTGCCTGAGTCCTATGTTTAAGGGTCCCACCTCTCAGTATTCTCCCTCCTCAATCCCTACCATTTATCTCACACACCAGCAATACTGTTTCATGTACCGTACTCCCAAAACACTATAATTCTGTGCCTTTGCTCATACAGGAAGTCTTTGATCCTCCCCATCTATATACATCAAAGACTTTCACCCCATTCTGTTTTAGTTCTCCACTTCCATAACTCCATCCTCAAAGCCACTGCCTTGAATGCTCTGATTCTTAAATGGACATATCTCACTCCCTAACAAACACTTCCTGTCCTTCTAGCTTTCTGAATTTTTTATCTTGAAATTAATTCTTCAGCCTCATCAAGAGTCACTCAGTCCTCTGACCATTGCACACTTTCTGAATGTATGAGTTTCATTTTGCCTTCTCTATTTAACATAGACCCCATAGTATGTTATTCATTCTCTACTATTACTCTCAAATTCTCATTTCCTTCTCTTCCAGTCTCTATTTAGTCCATTCATCTCAATTCTCTACTCTTACACCTGGGCAGATGAGTACTGATAGTGAAAACTCTGTGGATCAGAATCTATGAATCGATAGTAGTACCAATGAGACCTGGGAACTCAGCACTGCCCACAGTCTTTCTATGAGTCCCCAGCCCATTCTCTCCATGTCCTCTCAGCAGTTACACCAAAATATCTCCATTCTCCCAACTGTTCACCACTTCCCCATTTGTTGTGAGAATACCTTGTTCTTCTTTGCTGAGAAAAATTGAGGTCACCAGTCAAATTACTTGCTCAGCTTTCTCTTATGCCATCTACAACATATCAGCACTGGGAAGTCTCCAATAGGAGCCAGGCTAGAATAGTTTTAGGTAAGGAATACGATGGAGTCACCTAAAAGTAAACTGTGCCAAGATTTCTCTAAGTTTATCAGAGACTATACACATGTACTCATCCATTCCTCTTGTTTCAACAGAAGAGGTAGCTCTAATTATTAAATCTTATTTTTCAACATTTATACATTATCGTTTCTCCTATTTTTTTTTTAAATTTCTTGACCCAATGTTCCTCTCTAATTATTATCTTCTCTTCTTCACTTTATAGCATTTAAAGAATACAATAGCCTATTCTCTTACTTCCACAGTTCTCATTTATTCTTCAACCCAAAATAATATGGCTTCTTCCCACACAAAATCAATGAATAAACCCTCAAAACCCCAAATCCAACCAAGTGTCGTTGAGTTGATTCCAATTCATGGCACGCCATGTGTGTCAAAATAAGAACCACAGGGCTTTCAGTAGCTGAGAGGGGCCTCTGGGTGGACTTGAACCTCTAGTCTTTCAGTCAGCAGTGAGCACATTAACTGTATGCACCACCCAGAGACACCAATGAATAAACAGAAACCATTTGTTGAGTGTATACCCTATGTAAAATGTAGTAACTTTCAACAATAAGCAGTCTACATATATTATCTCATTTAACCTTATTCATACTATCACAACGCATGTGGCTGCTAACAAGAAGGTTGGTGGTTTGAACCTACCAGTTGCTCCACAGGAGAAAGATGAGGCAGTCTGCTTCTGTAAAGTTTTACAATCTTGGAAACCCAATAGGGGTTGCTATGAATTAGAATTGATTTGATGGTAGTGAGTTTTTTTTTTTTTAAAAAAAAAAACACAAGAGGAAAGTAATACTGAAAAAAGTTAAGCTATGCATCTAAAGTCACATTGCTAGATAAACATTAGAGCAGGAATTTAAGTATGGAATTGATTTTAGAGCCTTCAAAAAAAAAGTACATAAGTTTATTATAAATTTTAATGATGTAAATGATGGGCAGCTACTTAAAAATAATAAAATATACAGTATTCTTCACTGTAAATTCTACATAGCCAATGGAGTAGCACAGAATGCTATTACTGATTTTTGCTGAACTCTTTTATGGACACTGTTCCCCGGCTGCAGCTTCGCTTGAATGCCATCCTCTTCAAGCTAAAATTCAATGAGCAAGTGGAGCTCATTCATATACTATCTCCTAAATCAAGCCAGAAATTGTTTCTGTGACTGCTGCATGTGAGGAGTTACACAAAAGTGAGAGCTTCTCTAACCTCTTGGAGATTTCCTTGCTTGTTGGAAACTATATGAATGCTGGCTCCAGGAATGCTGGAGCCTTTGGCTTCAATATTAGCTTCCTCTGTAAGGTGAGCCAGGAAGCTAGAACAAGACAGCAACTATGGTTGCAAATGACAAATGAGTGTTCCGGCATCAAAGATGCCTGATATTTTCTTTTTACATTAATGAGCAAGACAAAAGTGAAGGAAAAGAAATGTATGCCAGAACTTCACTTGCTCGTCAACGACATGAACTTTTTTTTTACTGATTCAGGTACAGTTATGAATACTAGAAGAGTATTTCCTCAGTTTTGTGCTACTCACAATATTACAACTATAAACATAACACTCTAATGTTTAATCTTCTTTGTTAACACTTGCACCATCATTTTCTTAAATCTTATCTTCCAGAGCCTTTGTTCATAACCATTACGCTCTACTAAAATTATTCTTGTTCAGGCTGTTGACTGTCCTAATGACAGATCCAAAGGATACTTGTCCTGTCCTGATTTTACTTTACCTTTGTCTTCATTTGACATTTTTGACTACTCTTTCTTCTTAGGACTATGTGCTTTTGTTTTCTCTGACTGTTCTTGCCAGCCTCCTCTGAGGTCTCTCCAACTTTTCTACTTGCCCCTTAAATGTTAGTGTCCTTCAAGAGACTTTAATAAGATTCATATACTATCTCCTAAATCTGTTGTCTCCAACCCAGATCTCCCTCTTTACTTCCATACCCAAATGCCTACTAGACCCATCCTTTTGTTGTATCATTTCTACTCACCACCTTGCCATCACTACCTGCCACTGCTGCACCTGCCCCGCCAAAAGACAGAGAGAATCTGCCCTTGTGGATTTTCCTATTTCAGTAAATGGTACCAATTTCCATAAACCAAAACCAAACAAAACTCACTGCTGATGAGTCGATTCTGACTCATAGTAACCTATATTTAGTTCCAAGGAATGATCTAAACCCAAGAAACACCTCCTTTATCCTCTAAGTCAACTGCTATATTCTATTGATTCTATTTTCTTAGTATCTTCTAACTTCCTTTTCATTCTTACTACCCTAGTTTCGGGAGCTCTGGTAGCGTAGTGTCTAAAGCACTTGATGGCTAACCAGAAGGCTGGAAGTTCAAATCCACCAGCCACTCCTTGGAAGGAAGATGGGGCAATCTACTTCCATAGTGATACTGCCTCGGAAACCCAAGGAGGGGTTGCTATGAGTCGGGTCCGATTCAAAGGCACATAACAACAACAACCCTAGTTTCAGGCCCTGATCACTACTTACTTTTTCAAAGCAGTAACATAATTGATTTCTCTGGCTACCGTGTCCTCTACCCTAGCAATCCAGCTCAAAATCACTGTCAAATTAATCCTACAAACTACAGAGTTATGTACTCGTTTTCCTGATTGAAATCCCTTCTCTAACTTCATAGCTTTCAGGATAAAATATATACTTCTTAGCCTAAGTCTACCAAAATCCTTTACAATTTAACACTTACATACTTCTTAAAAGCTTTTTTTCCACCATACCTCTACATATGGGCTTTACTCAGCTGTACTCAACTACTTGCTATCCCTGAAGTGGATGATGTTATCTTATGCCTCTGTGCCTTCATAAAGGCTTATCCTTCTGCCTGAAACAACTAGGCTCTCATTCATTTTTAATAGTTCTTTTAAGCAGTATCTCCTATAGAAGCACTTCCAGAATCTTTCCCCTCTAATACTACCTGCCCCATTTGATTTAGATGCCTCTGTTCCTAGTGCTCCCATTCTAGCATACTCTCCATCATAACATTTATCACCTGTGCTGTTACCATTATTTACTTGTTTGTCTCCATCAGACACATTGTCCATGATGATAGGACTATGTCTCACTCAGCTTTGTATTTCTAGCACATAACAGACACTTAATAATGCTGAATCACTAAGTTCCATCTCCCAGACCATTCTACGCTAATCTCAATTTTCTTCTTGAATTGTTTCCCATTTCTCTATCACTCAATTGGAAATAATAACATACCATTGCACTTTCATATCATTTTATGAAATAACAATTACTCATCTTTTATTATAATCTGAGAGATAATCTTCAGAAGAGAAACGGTCTCGTATTACTTTATTCTCAACAGAACTTAACCATAGTCACTATTTAGTAAGATGTGTTGACAATGATCTAAGATTGTACAGCCAAGAAAAATGTAAAGGCTGACTGCTCCCTCTGTATCACTGACTTTACTTCTAAGTAAGTATGTGTATGTATTAGTTGTGTGATGTCAGGTCATAATTTCCAAACTTCAGTTTCTCCACTGAGAAAAATGGGGGCAATAACCATGTCATAGGACTGTGAATGAATTTTATAAAATATATACATATCCTTTCAGTTCCAGAACACATGCCTAATATGTGCCTAATAGAGCCTGGTACATAGCAGACCCTTAAGTATTTGTTCAACAAGTATTTTAATCTCTCTCGATAGGTGCTGTCACGTTGGTTCTGACTCATACATGTAACAGAAGGAAACACTGCCTGGTCCTGTGCCATCCTCACAATCACTGCTATTCTTAAGCCCATTGCTGTGGCCACTGTTTCAATCCATCTTGTTGAGGGTCTTTCTCTTTTTCATTGACCCTCTACTTCACCAAGCATGATATCCTTCT